GTGAGGCCATGTTTAAAACCCAACTGTGCACCACCTCAGATTTTGTGGACCAGAAATGCTCACTCACAGTGCAGTGCATGGGCCTCTGCATACAAGACATGGCCCAGAAGAAATGAAATCTCATTCCCTGCTTCATAGGCAGGGGCCTGGAGGTATTGTTGGATGGGATAATGGAGAGGAGGGTCATTCTTTCTCCAGCTGACTATCACAGAAGGCCATGCTACTGGACCTAGCCTGGAAGTAGATTACAGACTGGGTCAGTGCTGTGTCCCAGGTGAAATGGGACATCCAACAGTGAAGGAATAACTGTGGCCAACTCCCAGATTAGAATCAGATGACACATCTTAGTGACTGTAGGAAGAGTTTAAACAACATTCTCCACTCCCCCAGCATTTCACCATTTTCTCTCCAAAAACTCACTCTATCTCTGCTACTGTATGTACCTCCCAGCAAGTCTCATGGTCTACCACTGTAAATCTTTCAGTCAGCATCTTCCCTCATTTGTTCTCACCCACCCCCAATCCTACATGACCTCTGTGCTGCTTACTCATTTGATCAGGAAAGCACCGCACCTGCACCAAAAATCATAGCTATGCCGCTCACTTACATCTCTCTTAGGAACTGGTTCTCTCTCATTCCAGGAGGAAAACAGCCTACAATAGGGCAGAATGAGTCTAGACGGGTGGTGAGGTGCCCAACATTGCCCCTTACGTAGACAGGACACTGACTCTGACTGCCTGGAGTTGCTGACTGACTGTATCTAAATCCCTGAACTGGTCTTTGAGGCTATTTTTGAGTTACTGTACTGGCACCAGAGTGAAAATTATCTCCCTTGACTTTACTGAGGACTGTTGACAAGCGTCCTGGCTTTTTGTCTGCACTCAAAAGTGCAGCAATACAGCGCTGCTGTAAGCCTGTATCTCTAGCAGAGGGCGCAAGGCCAAGAACTGCAAGGCAAGGATGATGTGAGCATCCAAACAGGCTTAAGGGGAGTAAGTGCTACAACAGCAAATGAACAGGTCAGATCTGTAATCTGGTCAAGTCTACGAGCTGGGTGTGTGTTCCTGAGTGCAAAGTATACTTGCTACAATAATAGCTGCCGTTGTGCCCCAAGGTGCAGCACTGAAGTACAAAATATCGTTCATGTGGATTGGAGATATGCCAAGAGGGTTCGTGTTGAATGCCAAGGTCCAAGGAGGTCAGTGTGCCCTGTGCCTATGGAGCATGTCCTGAGATATTGGTGCCCAGTATTTAACATGTTGACTCTTTGGAGCAAGCAGCAAGCTGAAGTCACTGGGTATCAGCTCTGAATTCCAGGTTGAGAATTCTCAGCATCTAGTTGGCTGGGCAAGGCTGGTAAGATAGGAAGCTACATATTAATAAGGTACGATGTGTAATTGATAAGGTCATTAACAAGCAATTTACCCCTTCAATAGGCATCTCGCCATTCCCTGGCAAGAATCTCAGTTTGACACCCAGCAGTTGCACAAAAGATGCAGCAAGTTGCTCCCAACATTGAGATTGGCCATGATACAACTCTCATATGATTCTGCCACATTTTTTGGCATAATCCATTCCATTCCGGCCCCCATATATATCTACCTATCATGCCAAAGCATGATCATAGGTACAAAGTGAACCTTGCAAGTCCATAATTTACAAGTCCTATGTACAAACTCCAGTTCACACAATCATTAGAACATGCAAACATAGCAATTCATATGGAAAATGTGGCCTTCAAATTCCTAGCTCTGAAAGAATTTTGTAAGGCATGTTGCTGAAAAAGCCACTAGCAGAGGGAATGAACTAGAGTAAAGGCTCACGCAACTACAACTACAAACAGACCATACACAAGGTATACCTCCAAGCTATCATCTGGTGTCCCACCAGAAGTGTATACATTAAATGATCAACAAACCAGAATTTGATAATATTCACAATGAGACAAAGAGTGGTGTATATGTTTCACACTGTCAATCTCATGCAAAATATCAATGGCATCACACCATCTGAAGTGTTTGCAAAAATTCAATTAATTTATCTTCAGAAAACTGATGATTATTCAATACTGTTTAAAATTGTCATGGGGCAAATGCCAGTGTACTCTTCCTTCAAAATACATGTCCCACAGACATGGGAAGCCATTATGAACCTACTAACACAAAACTCTGAGCATGCTTCAGTTCACCAATTCCATGTGCAGGATCAATGGTCTGCAGTGCAAGTACAATTAATCCATTTAGATGTCACTGATGTAGATACTGCTGGACCAGCAATGGCAGGTATACCAGCACTAGACCACAATCCAGTCAGATATGAGAAACACTAGGGAAACAGCAGCAGACAATTCAATAAACACTTGCAGAATTGAAAATGAAAGAAGAATGGGACACCGACAGCACAGTAACTCAAATGTCTTGAGTATATACCTCTCATTTTTAGTTATGTTATTAGTATTTTATAGGGTCACCACATTAGAAAAATGATCACTTAAGACAAGCACTAATGTTTCTATAGTGTGAACTTTAAATTTCCAACCTATTATTTTTTTCAATTTGGAATCAGATTTCAGAATTTCTTTAGATTGGTGTTTGACTCTCCCTGCTGAAGTACCTGCAATAAGTTGAAGGTATTATTCTAAGGGGTGTAATGACAGACCAATGTGGAACATTAAGAAAACAGAGGGCTTTCCTGCTGCCAACACAGATAGAAGTGAAAAGTGTACCCACAATCAAGAAATAACCAAAGAATGATCTGAATAGAACAGAGGTCCATTGCTACAATCTCCTACTCAATTGTTGCTGGCAAGAATTTGGGGTTTGATTTTAGAATGAGAGGATACCGTAACCCAAATGCACTTTGTTACAAAACCAATAGCTTCTTTCATCATTCTGGGTTTAATCAGCACTATTGCAGATTGCAGCTTTTTTTAAAAAAATAGTATTCACGTGAAGTGTCATCATGAATCATGGGAAAGTCCCAGCCATGTGTAAAGAAGGTCCTTTTTGCCATTGATGCTATGTTTGAAGCCAAAACATTTGATGAATGGAATCCATATATGATACCTACATTGTATTTTTCACAAAATAAAGGAAGATTGTCTGCCACTGCTGCACAGAATACATATTATGAGGAGAGATAGTAGGAACGGCAGATGCTGGAGACTCTGAGATAACAAGGTGTAGAGCTGGATGAACACAGCAGGCCAAGCAGCATCAGAGGAGTAGGAAAGCTGA